CTCAATCATTTATAACCACATTTGTCAGGGTTTGCCTTTGCCTTCTGCTTTTCACACAGACACGCTGTTATTTCAATAATGTATATATAGCAAAATTTAGCTAGAACTGAACTCTCCCATAGAGAGCTATTGCACAATGAAGTCTTTCCTCTAAGTGTGCTTCCGTGGAAAAGTTCACATTTATGAATTTTTGAGGTAATGCCTTTTTTATTTTTCACACTCAATTACACGTCGATTCTGCTTGAATTGAAAAATATTTTCTGGTATTTGGGTGTTACGATGAACTGGCTTTTACCAAATGCTTATGATCGATAAATAACTCCGCAGATTGTAACGATTTAACTGGTCTAGATAATGACCCAAACTATGTTCTTCACCTAACTGATTACAGCATTCATTATTGCCACACAACTGTGCCTATTGGTCATGGCTAACGAAATCAGTTAGTAAGGTAACGAATTTCTAACAGTTAGCAAAAAACACTTCATCTACTACCTAGGATCAATCAGTTCCAACTGTGGTCTGTGTCACGCCCAAACAATTCACTTAAATCAAACATATGCACATAATATCTGGTGGCATCAGTAAGTTTTGGCAGGTGGACGGCTAAGGAGAACGGATTGTTGGGATGAACCATTAGCTTTTACAGCTCTCCACGCATCTGGTTGACGCGCTGATGAACCCTATGCAAAGCTCGGTTAAATAGCTGAAGACGCCATTATTCAAATTTTCGACTGTCCCCTTGTTTTCGGCTTGCGTAGCTTTCCTATGTGTTTTTTCCTATGTGTGTAAGTTATGTTTAGTGTCGTAGGCTTGATGTTGAATCATATCTACGCGTTTTTCTTCCCGCTAAAACGAACGCAGACGTATGCCCGCTTTAACAATGTGAACATAAATATACTGCGTGTGTGTACACGGAAGATGTTTTGTTATCGTATACAATTAAGCTGAATTGTCGGATAGGTGGCGCCACGCTTGCTGCTATCTGCTGTTAGCTCTGACACCGCTTGACCCCAGAGTCGCAGTCGCTCAGCGTTTGACTGTTTGTGGAAAGAAATTCTAGGTATAGCTGAAAACCCGACAACTCCGAACGAATCGGTCGAATGACCGTCTGGCCTGCCACAGCTGTCGTGCCATTCTAGTAGAAAGACCAGAACTAGCGCTGATGACGCTGCTAGTTGGGTATTGTGGATTAGTGCACTGTTGAAAAAGTTTTGACCACTACACAAGACTAGTAGTAGTAGGGTATCGTAGGGCATGTAGCAGAAGCAGCTAGCTATTAATGGTAGTAGCAGAAGAGAGGGCATTGCCTCAGATGGCCGCTGCGATGCTTAGCCCCATAGTGCGGCACAAACCTCCCTCTATGTCATGGCACAGCGCGTTGTCAGCAGCGGCGACACGCCCTCCCACGCAAACGGCGTTTAACTGCCGTTAAATAATGCCTTCGAAAAGTGGGTCCACATCGAGCGGCAGGTTAATTGACCATCGTTAGCGTTGCCGTTGCTGGACGCTTACATCCACTTTTAAAACATTGAAACATGACAGTGCCTAGGAAAGGGCAGCGAACTAACTTGACATGCACCGAAGACATGTACAGGATTATGCGGTGGTGACGTCGACCACCAACGCTCTATAGAGGGGAGACATTACATTGCGTAGTAAAATTAAAGCGACAGTCTACGGTAAAAGAAAACTTACGATAAGCCTAAATTCAATGCTTTTAGAAGTTGTGAATCATTCCGGCCGACCGGGTGTTAACTTGTTGACCTTATCGTGAACGCTTAAACGAGAAGTCCCAGGAATCGATTTACGTCCAGTTAGCACTATTTAGATCGGGTTAGACACTTTCCATTGTGTGCTTGAAAATAAGTAGACCATTTCGAATTACCCCCGTATGCTGTTACTATTCGATTGACACTCAGGGTGTCCTAGTTGAGAATAACGCAGGAGCAAAGAAGACAAAGGCTCGTACCATTACATTCGCGGTAAAGTGCGTACGCCCCTCCAAGATTGTTGTATTTGCTCCAGATTTCGACAGTAGCATTTCAGACAGTAATTTCAAAGGAACTCCTAACAATGCCACTACATCATATCACATGTAGGAAAAACTATTTTTTTTTTTAATTGTTATCGCACGCCAAAAGCGTGCTCTCGGGATCATTTTGGAGCAGGGCGGATGCCTGAGTAGTTCCTTTGCAGTATACGATTCGTCGCCTTTCCATGTTTTCCATGTTGTTGTTATTGTATAGCGGCAAAGCATTGGCGTCATCAGTAGTGGTACATTATCAGCTTAATAATACAATGAGCGGTCACTTGTTTGGGTGGCTGATTGGTTGATGTTTACGGACATGGCCCCGTGTGGCAGCCTTTAGCTGTGCAACAATCAATGGCTATGATGTTCTAGGGCCGTTAAATGCGAGCATTGTTAGCCTCTCACTACTCGCACGGGTGGGCGTAAATGTTGATGTTATTGGTTTTTTTTCCGTTATTTGTTAGGGACATCTGGTAGTCGAACATACATGCACACAGACACATGGTCGTGCGTACAAACAGATAAACGCAGATTTACGCGCACCGAACATCAAAATAGTTCGGACACGGGGGCAGCTACAGCAGAATCTGCAGGTACACCTTATGTTGTCGCTGATTGTGATAATATGATGCTGACAATAGCGGCACCTGCTAACTGTCGCGTGTTCACAAATGATGAAGGCTTTACTAACCAAGGGGCCCTTCGTCATCACGCCTCGCGTGCAACGGAGTACTGTCATACCACAACAGCGGCAAGCAGTGCCGCTATTCCTACTGGTACAGCTGCGTCATACCGTCTGTGACAGCAGCAGCAGTAGTAAACGTATTACGGACCGGACACGGTCGATCAATCTCAGCTAACCAATTCCGTTTGGCTAAATTTGAGTCGAATTCATTTTCGTCGTCTCCCACAGTCGACCATGTGCATGTCTATCGATAGGAAAACGAGCGAAACAACGAAAAAGAACGAGGGAAGTAACAAGCGCGTAGCAAATACAAGCAAAATAAGAATGGAAAATCCTTGAAATCGATAGGCATAGTGGCAATAGATGCGGCGACGATCGACCAGTCACACGCCAAATCGCGCTCTGCAGCGCTGATGAACCGAGCTTCCCGCCATAAAATAGACGGATTCGACTCCACTATCCCTACCTACCCCGTCTACACGCCCGCCCGCCTACCTACCTGCCTGCTTGCTTGCCTACCACCAGCTGGCTAGTATCAGTGTAGAGAGAGAGAGAGAGAGAGACAGCAGAGATCGGCCAGGCCAGAAAGCCAATCTTAGCAGAAGGAAGCCTCCGTATCATCACCTGTACCATCCATGTACAACGGATCCAGGCAAAAAAAAGGCACGACAGACTTCGACAAACCAAATGAAGCATTACACGTACCATGGTAGTAATAGTGATGACGGGAAGTCGTTTGGCCGCAGGCCTGGCCACGTTAAGTACCCACCGTTTAAGTCTGAGTCCGGCTGATGAGCAGTTTAAGACGATAGGCTCCTTCCATACTTGATTTTACATTTGACGAAGTTGTAGAGTCGCACTCCTGCACCCGAAAGGGGAGAACGCGCTCGAACCAGCTGTAAAACAAAGCTCTAAAGGCAAAAACAAACAAACAAAGCATTAGCTACCGCCATACTACCTTTTTAAAGTATACATTGTTGACAAATCTGTACTGACTAGGTGACTGTGAATGTATCGCATCAATATTAAGCATGCTTAATTGGAGCAATATAGAAATTGGTTGTAGAAGCGGTTATTAAAAGGTACTGATAATGCGCTCTTTTACATGTACAATAAGCTAGTTTTTTTTATTAGGGCACATTATTAACTTAGTCATCGGCAAATATAAAAAGTGAATGGTGTTTTATAATATTGTTCAGGGGATCTGCTTAACATTGGAGGAGATTTGAAGTATATGCGACTTGCTAAATGCCAGTTCTTTCGCTTTCACGCTTATTATTAGTAACGCTACATTTCGAAACTATATTAAGTACAGCTTTTGAATTAGCTGAATTTTTCATTCTTCTGCGTCTAAATATACGCTTTTTGAAAAGTAGTCCACGCTGACATTATTTAACGCGTACGATTTTAACAAAACTTGACAGGAACCCGCCCATTCGTATATGTTTCAAATTATCGCTTAGTAATACCGATTCTGCCAAAGTATCAGAAGACAACCAAACTGCTGTCACGGTTACGACGAGCAACGGCCTTGTCTTTAATCTTTACTGTTTACAGGTAACGTCCACTATAGTAGTGTAACAACTGGATGATGTTTGATCACGTGTTAGATACTTGCATTGCATTCGACAGCGCTTTATGTCACCCCAACGCGTCCCCCTAATGGGGGACGCATTTATTTTATACCCCTATTTTATTATACTCATATATTAATCTAATCTTTATGTAAAATACAGTATTATCATTAGTCATAATAAACATAATAATTAATTTTGCTAGTAATAAGGTTTTGAAAAACTGTGTCTCATATAGAGAGTCTACATTGTGACAGACAGCCAATGCCTTCGTTGTCGATGAGCAGTATATGCTCATTTATATATATGTAAATAGATAGTAAATATTGTTTGTTGCGAAAAATAGTTTATTAACGGTTTAATTTGCCGGTAGGCATGCGAAGTGTACACCCATGGGAGGTGTCTAATCTGATTTTCGTTGCGTCTTATAACTAGTTGGCCATCATAACCACTATGGTCTTATTTTCTGAGTCTTATGTTTTTCTTAATAGTAAATTTCGCTTCTATCGATAGCCATTGTGTCATAATGGGAGGTTATTGCTACAGAAAATTTTATTTTGAATCTTTATTTAAGGTTCATATTCTTGTGAAGCGAATGAAACTACAAGCAGCTCTTGTGATATCGTAGGATTTTATGATGTATTATACGTAAGTGTGCCGATGTAGCTCGAGGAATTTTCATTTTTGGTGACACCCTTCTGTATTGCAGGTGTTGGTAATATACCAGTGCGATCGGATTTTAGCAGCCGAAGCTTGCGAGCTACTTCTGCGCCTCCAGGGAAACGAACCACCTCTGGAGTACCTATAACTGCTGGAAAGGCATCACAAAATTCTAACCTTAATGGTCAGTCACTTGTGTCAGAGGGGGGCCTCCTTCCACAAGTTAATGTGAACAACAGTATACATTCTCTCAGTAAATGGGGAAGAAAACCTATATTTTCAAAAGTTATCCTTAAAAGTATTGTAGTCAAAATTGGGTCGCATTTTGACACCAAACACGCTTCCTTGCCCCCTAGCGAGACTGACACCTTATCAAAATATTATACCTGTAAAGTAAATATTTACCTATGTACACAAATAAGCAACTGTTGATAATGACGTAAATGCATACAAGCGATGAGGAGACTCATTACGCATTGTGATCAGCGTTAGCCTTCACGAAGACTTGGAAATTATTTTCTGTTTTCGTTGACTCTTCCGCAATCATTTGCAGGTGGTCGGTCGTCGACAGGTGGCGGCAATATGGCGACCAGCTCTTCCAACAACGCCGCACAGGTATCCCGTATAGACAACCTTTATAAATATAGATTATAATTGATTCTATATGCTTATATCTATTCTAGTATATTACTAAAATTCTATGCTTGTTCGTTTGTCTGTCCAAGCCATGCCGGTCTGTAAATGGTCAAACTGGGTCGACTTTTTGGGTTACTTTCGATCCTGGGAAGAACTGCGCCTAAGATGGAACCGATCGAATGAATATTTTTTTCTCAAAAAAAAAGTCACCATGAAATTTCTACGGCTTTCAGCCTTCATGACTTTTTTGAAAAACAGATCCAATACAGCATATGAAACATGTGTGTAATATTCAAAAAAGAAAACAGAAATGGATAAAATAATTACTGCTCCGGTTCATGCACTGGTGATAATCATGAGCTATCGATTTACAAGCTTCAGCAAAGGTATTATTTAATCCAACGGTATGTCCTTGCCTAATTAAGACTTTTAAATTCTTTACTCTCGTTGGTTTTCTAGTAAAGGTTTTATTTTTAAGATATCCCCACAAGAAAAACCCCATTCGCGTTTGGTCTGGGGAATGGACAGAATGTTCTATGGGACCTCTTCCCCCAGCATATCTGTTTGGAAGCTTCTCATGATGACATGACAATGATGTTGCGCAGGTACTCCATCTCGTTGTAAATAGATTCGCCATCTTTAGCAAGATGCTTGCGAACACCTCCTGACTCTCCTGGAATAGGTTCAAGTAATTGGCACCAAAAACTGTATTGTAAAATAAGAATTGTTCCTAAGACACAGAGTAACTTAGATAAATTTACATGGTGTTTTTACATACCATGTAGACTTATATATATAATAAGTATAATCCTATCCAATTTAAATATAGCTTCATTGCTCCGAACAATTGCGTCTGAAAATTTCGTTCACGATTTGTTACAACGTAACTTTTCCATTACAGTGGCCTAAAACGCTTGATTTGCTGAACGACCAGATTGTTCCGCTAAAACTTGCCAGTTCTTTCTTTTGTCTGATGAAGTGTACCGTTGAATGCGCTTGATATTCTGGATCGTTTTCATGTGTTTCAAATCTTTATTCTGTTCGATTTATTGATCTGCTCGATCCTTCCTACAATAATTTCTTTGTACAGTTGTAGAATAGCATTTTGAAATGATTTTTCGGCGTTTAAAAGGTACTCTTGGTCCATTTACTATTCTCTGTTAATTAGTTAATTATACGGTCAAAATAGAAAAGTTGAAAGGTTACGACCTGTCAAATAGTGTTATTTTGGGATATTCCGCATATATATATATATATGTATATATCTGTAGATATTAAGTTAGTTAAAACCTAATTAGTCGACTCCATCGATTGTAAGTTTAATAAAAGGCTATCAAAAAGAGCCAATTAGCTAACACTGAAAAAGTCCCGTAATCCTGTTGCACGTTTGAACTAAAAGCCAACATGTCATGAGCGAGACATGTCTGGGCAATTTCAGTGAGACAGCTCTCAGTGCATACAATAGTCTCCGTTAGGCCGGGTGTAATATCATTCAAGCATAATAAATTTAGTCAACGATAAAACATGCCCAGGGCAAAGTCCGCTAAATCCAAACTACTAAATCTCTAAATCTGTTTGTTCGTCCGACTTAAATAAACCCGTTAAAGTTGTCGGATCAGACCACGGATGACTCTTGGCGAATCACTAGAATACCGTACGGAATAAAGCCGCGTGAAATATAGAAGCTGATCAGGTGAATACTTTAGCTCAGAACAATTTGTTTTTCATCCTATAGAGCATAATGCTAACTCGGGCAAAATTGATCGCGTTATCCCTTTTTTTTTTTTTTTTTTTTTTACAGAATTTATTTATGCTTGTCTATGAGAAAATTGTAGAAGCTGAGGGGTGAGCTTCTGTCGAAATTTCGTTGAAAAAATATTGACAAAGCGCTAGCCGAAGGTTTATATGGAGGTGTGCGTAGGGGTAATCGTTTTAGATAACAATCGAAACCTTTCATCAATCTGAATCAAAATGCAAGGTATGTCCCCATATTCGGATCTATGTTTTCAGGTTGAAAATGTCCCCCAACGAATGAAAATAGCATGACATCTCAAGGATTTTGGATGGGTAGATCTCGACGAGCTGAGTAAAAATTCAATACGTGTCCCTGTACTTAAATTGATGTTTCGATGTGAAAATGCTGAAGAACCCCATTAAGGGGTTCGCTTCACCCACGTAGCAATAGTTTTGAGGTGCTTTTGTGTAGTTTTTAAGCGGATTTCTAATAGGCATCAAAGGGAAGGTTGTAGCGTATAAAAGGACGAATATCTTAACTGAACATGAAAAGAACATAACATTTTGATTTGAAAATATTCTTTAAGAGATTTTTGAGATAAATAGCAGAAGTATGGGATAGATTTTTTCGAAGCAAGGTATCACCATGTTATAGCCATCGATTCCTTACATCCATCCATAAATCATGACGAGCTGAGTAAAAATGCAATATATCTTACTACAACTAAAGGGGTATTTCGGCCAAAAATTCAATGTAGTAACTTTTTCGCTCAGGTGATGTTACGACAGAAATTTTCTTTACTTGGAAATCTATGCAGAGGACATTTCTTAGTTCGAATCGGAATGCATTACATCTTCAGTCTCAGTTTTTGGGTCGAAAATGCCGTTTGAAATGTGTCCGTGGAAGAATTTCTTGACTCCAGTCATTCAACCGAGTAAAAGTGTATATGTATTTATATCATTTTTTTTTTAGGAAACTATGTTATACAAAAAAAGGACAAATAAGAAAACTTTTAAACATTATTAGCGTTTTAAGAACAGAGTCACCAGGTTAGCTGACTCTGTAAATTGTAACGTGTATTAAAAGTCGGCCAAAGGCTCATTCGATAGGCTTACGTGCCTCAGAGGTTGACCAACGACCCGTCCTACTCACGGGCGTTCTGAAGAAAGAGTCATCAGTTGACATTAAAAAAAAGTGATTACAGAAGGGTAACGACTTAAGTGGAGCATAGTAGTTGTGGTAAGACAACTGTTAGTGTATATCTATTATAATTTATTTTAGACTTGGTCTGAAAAAACAAATTAACAGCAAAACAGACGGAGGGCTCGGCGTACAAGTCAGTTTAATCTACCTACTATTAAACCTTTTGCCTGTTCGCTTATTCGAGTCAAATCGGTCCTATTACAGAACGCTCAGATCGGGCTAATTTCTGCTGGGTTACGAGAAATTTTTCTTGGAAGAGTTGGGTGTAAGATGAAGCCAATAGAGACAAATACTCTTCCCCGGGGAATTGTTTTTCTTATAAAGCATAATATTAATATGGAAGAGCTCGCAGTTTTTTACTAATAAAGATTCTGGAAATGTTATATACGATTAAGTTGTTTGTTTCGCAAGCTCATATTTGAAAAGGTAATTTTACTTTCTCATGTTTTTTTTGCGACCCAGTCGTAAGACGTCTATTAATTGTTTACTTTTACTATTATAATTGGTGATTTTCTTCGAAATGGCTCATAATTGACATAATATGAACTATCGCAGTCTATAAACTCTTGGTGTTCAAATACTTTTTTTCTGAGAACAGTTTCTTTTTCTCATGGGGAAGGATAATACAAATTCTTTCGATTTGCGAGATAGTAGATAAAATGCAAACTATCTGGTCATATATAGCTCGTATTGAGTGAGTATTTTTCTTTTCTATAGAACGTAATGATAAACAGCGCGAGATAACACCAGCAGTTCGACAACTGTTGAGAATTTCCTTAAGGACTATATTAGAAAGGTTTTTTGGTGGTAAAATTGTTTAAAATGGTGATATATCTAACCGTACCAGGATTACAACAAGACCCCGAATGAGGACTGGGAATAATTGTAAAAGGTTATGGAATGAGATTCCGTGGAGGACTGTTCCGCCGTGTTCACAGATGAAACTTATCTTTACTGACTTTTCTAAGAAATTGTGGAGTTGAACTCAAGTAGTGCACTAAGAAATACAATATGTAGAGCGTTAAGAAAATTAATTGCAATGTAACGATGAGGTTGTAGAACTGCAAAAAGCTCACGGATTAACCGACACAGAATAAGAAATATGACTATCACAACCAGATACAATCGGAAATTATAGGACAATTGAACGCGATCGAAAAACGTCGGCCTGCAATCGAGCAATAGTTTACATTAGATATAGAAGTATAATACGAATCAAAATACCTGACTACAAACTAATGAGATAACTATCGCGGAAGATGTAGAAGGATTATTAGAGCATTCCAATGGGAAAATAGGAACAGACACCTGAAGTCGTATAACTGTAAGGAGGTAAATGGTACTAACAGATCGAATCGGCCAGGAGAATGTAGCTGCTCTAACCAGATAAAGGGAATGGTATCCTATCCTATCTTAGGGGTGTTTTGACCGCATAACTAAAAAGATGTGCGTCTGCAGTCGAAGTATAGTTGTTTGAGCTCGTGTTACACCAGGCTGACCAAATGGCTGGAAAGGTGGGTTTGTAATGGGCTGGATATAATATCAAAAAATCAATTTAGATAAATAATTGCATGGAACACAAACGGGAACTGAAATGCTTTGGCCCGTTCAGCGTACGATTAAGCGTCTACGTATATCTGTGCACTGATGTGTTCTCTAACATGCTTTTTGTAAAATAGTATTTCTTATTTAACTAAGAGCTAATTCTTGCCATGTAGTTAGGTGGTTTTTACGAGACGTATTTTGCCAATCGAAGATTCGTTCAGCACCTGTCTAAAACTTTCTAAAAGCTTTCTAGTGGATGGACATAACCCGCGTGGATGGCACGCGTATAAGATAACTACGCTAAAGTAAAGAGGTCACTGAGGCAAGATAGTAGATTGATTAAATAAGAAAAAATAAAGCTTTTATAATTAGATAAATGCAACGTTATCACGCGAGTACTGAAGTAGGGTTTCAAAGGCGTAGTTACCGAATGCCTATAAAAGCATAGATTTATAATAAAGTTAAACCTTATGTTTAACTATTTAACATGCGTAAGGTTCGTTGGTATAATATATCTTAATAGAATAGGAAAGATAATTGGTTTGGGCGAGATCGCTACAAAGGGGTGCTACCATAGATAGAACAGAATGATGATTACGACTCAGAACAGAATGATATCAGACCCCAATATTAGCTCGGGTGCAAACAGAATTAGCTAAAACGACGGCGCGGCGTAAACTGCAAATCAACCAAGTATATCACATAATAGAATACAATAAAATAAATTTATTAACGATGCTGTTTTTGGTTTGTTGATGTCTTTACTTGTTCTTTTAGTTTTGAGCTTCAAGCTCTCTGTTTGTCTAACAAGTCATGGGACACAGGTCCTAAGGCGAATGTAGGTGTATAAATGGGACACGATTCTGATTTCAGGATAGGCCTTCATTCTTAAGCTGAAATAATTAGATTTCGTAATAGTTAATAATAACTAGTTAATACAGGGCAATTAATTACTCGAGTTGATCGACGTTTGTTTTTACGAAAAATTCAGACCGAGACTTGTCCAATATAAAACATAATGCGATGATATTCAGAAAAGACTTGAAAATAACAAGCCATTTGTTTATCTAGGTACTGGGCGGTGTTGATGAACAGGTTTTTCTAGCGGCATTTGATGAGCCTCCACTACCGTTGGTGCCAGCGTTACATTCGGCCAGGGATCTCGATAACCACATGAATGGAGTAAGTACATCAATAGTTCCATTTACAAAAATCGCACAGTTGTCGTAAGGTTTAAAATCGCAATCTCATTTCTCCCGCTTGCCAAAGCCAGCGATATAAGGCTCATGCCGTTTCAGTTAACAAAACAAATTTCTGCGCACATCTTTTCTGCTACAGTCTGAAGTTCGGGGTCTCAGGGGGTCACCTTGGAAATAACATTAGCCATTTAGTAATTACATTTTAGATACATTTATATGTGTGTGTACGTAAAATTTCCAGATCCGGTCAGCGCTTGGAAATCCTGAAGTCGACTGGGAACGGAGAGTTGCACTGCTCAAAGCCTTAAGAGGTATTACTTTTTTTCGAAATTAATTGGTAATTTGTAACCATCTTAATATAAGTACCCGTTACAGAACATTCGGAATTTCGAAATTGGCATAATTCACTGGCTGGAAAGCATACCTATCGTATCATTCTCAACCGCGCATTTTAAATTATCGTTAAATATCGTGTGATAGGATATTTTGCTTCTGGTGCAATTACATACATTCGGTATTGAATATTCTCTAGAAAAAAAACAAACATTACCTATTTGTCTTATACGAGTGGATTAAATCACACGATAACGACGATCCGTGTAAATTGTATATTTTACACGTTTATTCTACTATCATTGTTGTACTCAAGCATTATGCCGCTCTTTTCTACATATTGTTTTTGAGTGAGATATACTATAATTCATACAATTATACAACGATAATTTGTCCATGATTCTTGATGTTGTTATTGAAAGATTCGATACAAAATTGATTCGATGCGTAAAACACGCACTGGTATGACGATCCAGCCTGCCTATGCACGAGTGCAATCGGTTTGTACAATGAGGTCTTTTTCCTATCGTAAATTTTCGTCACAGATACAAGTGTGGGGTGCCGTCGATCATCGCTCATTCTGTTAATATGCATGCAGTACTCCATCTGTCTGAACATGGCCTAAAATATACTTATAGAATTGAAAAAACGGGTTAGCTGGAATAGATCGTGAACCAGAGTGAATATGAACATAAATATATGAATACAAGCTGGTCTGGCCAAGGACTATATAAGCGAACAGTTAGTTCAGAAATGGCGGATCATAGTTTCGTTATCATCTATAATGGCCATTATAGAGTTTAAATCCGATAATAAACGATACCTTGACAACTGTTTTGCGCAGTAATCTATGCCTGTGTTAAAATTTGATGCGTATTCACCATAGATAGTAGAGGCTTCTATAGCGGATATAAATAATATAAATGTCACGATTCCGAATGATGGCTAGCAGTAGTTTTCGGAATCTACGTGTATCTAGTATTCACGTACAGCGCCGCCGCTTGAATGACTAAATCCTCTCACTTTTGACAAAACTTTTCAGTTTAATAATAATATCGTTGCAACAATGAAAGCGAAATTTTCGAATATCACTTTTCGTAGTAACTTATGATAATAAAGTTTGTAATGAGCTACCCATTTTACATTGTATAAATATAGATATTTTAAGAATACAAATATAGTTGTTGTTTTACGATAAGAATCGCCCTGACGTAAATGGGCACTTCTGTTATCAATGAAAATTGTGCACAAAACAGCGGTCAATTAACGTACTAATATTTATCTCGAAATGCTTTTGTAGCGGTGGTGCGCGCTGGCGGCGCCTTGTATGACGAGTTCTTCGCCGCGCTTCGGTTACTTGAAGTTCCGTTTCAGACATGTGTCCGCGATCTTCGCTCGCAAGTAGTTCGAGAGGCGTGCATCAGCATTGCGTACGAATGCGATCTTACTATTCCATGAGTTTTGAAACTTTCAAGAGGCGATATATTATATATAGAATATATATATATATATAGAATGTATATTTTTTTTCATTCAACCTTCGGTAACTCAATAGCCAATTTTGGTTAAGTATTTATTACCCTTCCCTACTTTGGAAAGGGTAATGATTCGAATACGTTTGACTGTTGATCCTTCCCGAGGTGTCTCGTTTCGTGGCTCCGTAGTTTAAATCGTATTTCTTTACATAACTTACGCATCTGTTTCTTAATTTTTTATTAATCTATATCTTTTGCATTGATTGTACTGACAGGTACGTGTGTCGTGAACTAGGCCGTCGAGTTGATCATCTGTGTGAAATTCTCCTGCCATCTCTCATACAACTTATCGGATCGTCTGCCAAAGTTGTGTCCTCATCAGGTCAGCGTATTTACTTACTACTTATTACGCCCAGCTCTACTGACTTTGACTGACCGTAAACCACGGGGTGCGCTGTGGTACGAATGTGCTTTACTATGAAGAAAGTTATTCTTCAGAATGATAGCCGACTCAATAATTAAAGTGGAAATGTCCTTTGTGTCGCTTTCGAAAAACAACACAGGAGCCCTAGTTTGAAATTAAATACATTTAGTATTAAAAGCTTACATTATAATCCTTCAAATAATTGTTATTTACTTTTAGAAAATTTAAAATTATAAAAACGTATTTCTCTAATCGTCAGTATTTTGTTATTTTAGGAATAACCTGCATTCATTTTATTTTACAACATGTTCACTCACCCCGACTTATCCCGCTTATTACGAGAAATCTCACCTCGAAAAACCGGGTTAGTGTTCCAGCCTAATAATACCGAGCTTTAAAAAAGCATAAACTCGTTTGACGAATTTTGGCATCATGCAGAAACAGTGTAGAACAAGGATTTACACAAGTGCATACGTGCCAATATAGTATTTTAGTATGTACGAAATAAGCAGAATGGCAAAATTGTTCGCTCTCACCAAAATTGCGAAAAAATAGCAATAGTTAATATTATTACTATTATTGTTAATTAACATAAGGTTATTTTTCTAGGAGATCCGTCGATATTGCTGCGAGTTCTTACATCAGCTGCTGCTTATTTGGCCTGCGGGCTCCCTCGAGAAGCACATTGTCACTATCCAGGACGCCATCAAGAAAGGTGCGCATGCCAACAAATGTTACCAACTTATGTATCTGTGCCTCTGCCTCGCGCTTAACTCTAAGCAGTTCATACTGGAATACTTAAAATCCACAATTTTTGCGCTGGTTGATAATATTTACAGGCATTTCGGATGCCGACTCGGAAGCCCGTTGCCAGGCCCGAAAAGCTTTCTGGGGCTTCGCGGACCACTTCCCGCGGGAGGCCGATAAGCTGTTGCTATCGCTTGATGTAGCCAAACAGCGTTTGCTACATTCGGGATACATTTCCAACGGCCACAACTCAATTAGTAAGCAACGTTAGGCCCTATAGGCTGACTGGCGTTTTCTGGCCACTGCCTCTTCCTTTTACCGACTAATTCCCGTCTTCTACGGCTAATTACCATTGATAATCTGTCTACATGGTTTCCATACGTGATATAACAAAGCATTAAAAAAGTAGTAATATAATTCTTAAGCTGTGTGAGTATCCTTAGGCTGTTCGTCAACTGTAGTTTGCTGAGGTGCTTCTTTAGCCACTTACTAATCTCGTTACTTCTGTCGTTCTGTGTTTTGTCCTTGCTTCTCTTTAGCGATCTCGCCTATGAGCCAGTCGTTGTTCGGCTCATCGCCGTCTTCGTTGACGCGATCGTCTTGCGGGCTGAGTTCCCCTCTGGGGGGACACAGTCTTCCATCTGGGGGGCGAACGCCATCATCCGAGAGCCTACATCGCTCTCTTACCGCTGCATCGCAGGCTGCCAGCCAGTATGGCACCACATCTAGAGGTATCAATAAAAGTGAAGTCCTTCTTTAACCTCTTAAGGATATAGACAAATGTAATGATTCTGATATCTGAAGAGCTGCTTTTTTTAAGGCCCGAGTATAATACGATGATAGCTAAATAGACGTAGTTGAAACTACAGCTTGTATGGGTAAATGTGTTTACATGTACACACACGCGCACGTATATATGTATATACTAAACGGAATGTAGATAAAAAAATATGTGAAATGTTTAAGTTGTTTAACTGTATACTTCCAAACAGCATCAATAAGGGATAGTAAACATTTGAAAAGTACGTTATTTATATTATTACGTAATGCTATCACGAAATAAAAAAAATTTGCGATTTTTACGACATTTTACTTAGACAACTGCTGATCATGTCGAGCTAATGCAGAGGATCGTTTGATATTCTTGAAAAAAAAAATACTGTAGATATCCAAACGGTCCTATTACTTAGATCGTTTAAAATAATTAGAATTTTTGAGAGTTTTGTTTTGACAATTTTCTGTACAACAACTAAACAGGTCGGTCTGCACGATACTTGAAATCTGCAAGGCTTCTCAAAGTATTATAGTTAAATGTATAACTCCACCGGTGTTTCAATTGTATATCTAGCGATTTTCCTTATTTGTACGTGTCAACGTCTATTTCAATTTTGTCACATCGTTGGGTCCATCGTCTCGGCCACCCACAGTACGGCCTGTTTCGACAGCTCGCCGTTCTAATAGCTCGATCGACGCGAGTGCTGCCCGTGCAGCACGTCTACGTGTCGTTGCCGGCGGGACCAGCAGCGCAACGAGTTCTAACGGCAGTTCACCAAAGCATTATCATCATCATCCAGCACACAACAAACAGAGTCCAGCCAATTCGAGTAGCTCGACTCCGAGCACGCCGCAGGTCCAACCAAAGAATGCGTTCGGTTTTGGCCAGTATCTCTGTAAGTAGAAATAAAAATTATTTACCTTAAATGGAGGCCCTAATTTTATATATATATATATATATATATATATACGTATAAATTAACAAAAATATATTTAAAAAAAATAAATAAAATTATATATATTACAATCGCGGAACCGGTTGTAACTGACGACACTGAATAATTTTTGAATCACATGCCACTAGCAGACGAATTTTTGTTTCTAAATACTTCAGTCCTAAGTATAAAAAAATGAAAATAAACATGAATTCTTTTGACAAATCATCGTTCTAGCCCAACTAGCTTAAATATTAATCGACTTCAAAGTCCTAATGTATACGTCTTTCTCAGTTATATTCGTCTCTTCAAAACTGGTTCAGGTTAACCCGAATTCTCTCATTGGTTTGACACTTTCAGCTCGGAGCTCCTCGCGAACCCGGCTCGACTCGTCAAGTACTCTGACGACGCCTACAAGAGGGCGCCAGTCTCGCGTGTCTCAGTCACAACGTAAGCCTGTTTAAGACTGTTTTTTTTCTAAAGAATTTTAACAACATTTTGATTGTTTTTGGCCACTAGACAAACATTTCTGTCCATAACATTTTGAAGTGCTTACCTAAAGACGTATGTTGAAGGTGACTAGCTCAATTTAGTTATCGACTGGCAGGAGCCCGATTTGATTTTATGTAACCGCGGACATGTTGTCGCACATCATACATAATATCGTATCCATAT